AGGGACAGTCCCAGGTGCACCTCTGAGATAACACAAATGTTTCCTAAAACAAACAGCCATTGTTTCTATACAAAGACCTTTAGTGTTTCCTCCATCAACAAAGGCCACAGCCATTCTTCCAAGAAGACAATGGGCTGGAAGCTCATTCATAAATATCTTGATGGGAGGTGGGGAGGCGGAGGGAGGGGCAGGACCATCCACTCCCCTGTACCTCTCTGCTGGACAAGATGGACTCCACTAATATGAGCCTTTCTGAATGGCCAGTTATTCCTGTACTATTCATAATGACAAGAATGACATTTCCCTGATAGTTTGGCATAGGAATAATGATATCTATCCCTTACAAAACTGCAGTCATGGTCAAGTGAGGTCATAGGTGTGAATGCTCTTTGTCTGAGTTTCTAGGACTACATAATGACATTATGAGGAGATTGGTGGCTCTCCTTTTTTGCCTGACTAAAGAAGATAGCTCTGTGTTAGCCAAATGAGTCACCAGATAGTCATCAAGTTGCTAGAGCAAAACGTAAGGGAGAGGGCATTGGGTCAGCATGGCTGCCTGCAGCCGCTAGCTCACTGGGGCTCATCCTGGGCCGACTCCTATGCAGGCAATGTCCAGCTCCATAGGCTATGCTTCCCACTCTCAGAGTTCCAGTTTCCAAAATGAAGGCCCTAGTAGGTTCCCACCACAGATCTAACAATTCTTTATTCCTAAAATCCCCCTCTCCTCCCAGCAAAGTCTGTCTTATGCAACTTGTACAAAATGGGTATGAATCACAAAGTAGACGTAAGAAAACTGTCTATAGCCCATTATGAATCAAAGACAAGAAAATTAAGGCAAGATCATTGTGTCATTTTATACCTACTTAATACTAAAAATTATTAGTGAGAACATGCAGTTTTGATGGAGTCTTATACTGGTGTGATCTTATAGCCGTAGCGCTGTAATAAATATGTATAAAACTAACAGAGGCCAACAGCAACACACAGCACCAAGAAGATAGCCCTATCTTTGGGCTTAATCTCCTCAGAAAATGCCCAAGCAACAAATTTAACAAAATCAAGAGAAGGCAATGGGTATGGATATACTTATCCATAATACATACTCAAGTAATAAAGAGAAAATTTAAATTAACTGTGATGTAACTATAATCATAAAAATTAAAATGTATCTACTACTTAGAGAGTATTGCTGATGTAATTATATATGAAAGTGTAGAATGTATATATATATATATATATATATTGTTTATTTATTATGTATGCAACATTCTGCTTCCATATATATCTGCACACCAGAAGAGGGCACCAGATCTCATAATGGATGTCTGTGAGCCACCATGTGGTTGCTGGGAATTAAACTCAGGACCTCTGGAAGAGCAGTCAGTGATCTTAACCTCTGAGCCATCTCTCCAGCCCTTAGAATGTATATATAATGTTGGTAGTATAAACATTCTTTTAAATGCCTTTGGACAGGATGGAGGTGAATTATAAATAAAAATGTTCTTTGGCGACTTTACCTCGTGTTTTAAGTATAACAATAGAAGAATTGTAGATAGCAGCATTCTCTTAAGACTTTACTTCTGCTTGGGTGGGGAAGGCAGTTGATTCCAACTAGATGACGATGGGAAAGTGCTTGGTCATGAGAAACAACACTTCCTAATCACTGAGCTAGGGTGTGGACAGATGTCCACAAAGTAACATTTGCATGAAGTACCCAGGGTACTCATTAAAAATATCAACCTTGGAGAAGGCCCAACGGCTGCTGAACTGGCTTCCTGCTTCCTCCTCTCACTTCCTGTCCCCAGAGAAGCTCTTTGACACACTGAAACTTTTCCTTGTTTGTGAAATGGAAGTAAAAATTGAACTACTTTTGCATAAACCTTCAGAGCAATTGGTGACATAGTGTTTCTTGCTCCAAAAACTGATCAGTAAAGCCCTGATGTTTCTGCTCACACCATGAATATATGGGGCAATGCAATGTTTCCTTCCATATCTATGGTGTGTATGCTGAGCAAATAAGATGAATCAAAACATCCATTACCTCCAATGTTCATCAGTTTTTGTTGTTAAGAAAATCGTTAAACCGTCTCTTCTTTTTAGTTATTTAGAAGTTTATAGTGCTTTCTAATTAACTGTAAAGGTTATTTTTGAGCTGTATGCCATCACACCCAGCCTGATTTTGTTTTGTTTTGTTTGTTTGTTTGTTTGTTTGTTTAAAGAAGTTTTAGGTTCACTGTGAAACTGAATAAAAGGCAGAGAGTTTCCCCATACTACTCTGGGCCCCATGTAAACACAGCCATTCCTGTATAAAAAAATCCCAACCAGAAAGATACACTGGTTATAAAATGAGCCTGACACTGTGTAACTGACACAAGGAGAGCACCCAGAGTTCTTTAACAACCCTCTTTATTTATCTCTGTCTGTCTTCAACCCCAGGCGACCACTGCCAGCTCTTAGATCTTCCAAAATGCCATGTAGATGGAATTGTGTGATTCCACTAGAGAATACAAAGATAAATTACTTCCAGAGATTGGGTAATGTTCTTCCTGCATGGTATCTCCAGAAGCAATTTTGTTATAATGTATAGAAAGGCAGGTTTGTAAAAAGGAAGTGGAGATGAATTTCTCTTCAGATAAATTTTGTCCAAAGACTCCCAGCATCAGGGCCTGAGGTGGGAGAGCAAGGCTTAAGGTCTACAGAAGCACTTCACGAGTAAAGAGAAATGCTTTGTAGCTGTAGGCAGCCATGAGGGTAGGGGAAGGGCCGAGGAAGGGGTGGGCAAGGCGGTCCCTTCAGTTTAGACAAAGCTAATACTTCTCAAGGGGCTGTATGTGTAAGTTCCATATCATGTGGCCTCTGTAAGGACAAAAGTCATAATTCAAGGTTGTCTTGTGTTTGGGTTGTAGGAAGTGGGGCAAACTGGTAGCTGCACGCAGGAGGGAGAGAACTCAGCTCTATGAGAACTGTCACGTTGTAACATGCCTGCTTACAACAGAGGTAATGATGCCACAGGGCACTGTGCCAGTCAGATGCTCCTTGGTACATTTCTTCCAGTAAAGGGCATCAAACTGATGAGGGCTGAGATTAGGCAACACACAGTGAGCACTCTGAAACTGTTGTCACAACATGCCAAGTTGAGCCAATGGCCCTTGTGATGGCCACATAATCCTGTTGGATCAGGTAGCTATAGATGGGAATGCTGAGACTCAAAGGGGTTAAGCAACTAACTAGTTCAAGGTCCCCCAGATGAGCCCAAATCTGCAAATTCAGAGCCCAGACTTCAATCTCTACATAAGCCACCCTTGGTCACTATGTGGCAATGACTTCTTTCATGAGAAGAAAGTAATTCCTGAGCTTGGAGAACAGGCTGCACTGTGTATTCATTCCAGCACTTGGAGGCTGCCACTTTGCAGGGAACAGAGAGGCATATGCTGCAAAAGAAACAAGGTCTAGTAATGAGGAGAGCTCCTGGAGCAGAAATTCACACACATGCCTTCTGTCCAATGTTGGGCACAGAGAAGAGGGCTCCATAATGGAAGAAGGCAGAGCTGTGCACTGTGAGACATGAAATCCTTGTGGGTGTCCCCAGGGTGGGACTGGTGGGGTACCAAACAGAGCCCTGTGGGAGGGGTCAGGAAGAAGTGACACTGAGTCACCTGTATCTTTGGCCTGTGCACTGTCTGAATCGTCCTCCAGGATTCTCCAACAGTCGGTGAGCTCTATTCTCTAGGATTCTCTAATAGCAAGTGAGCTTGGGCCAGACGGTTGGCCCACATCACAGCAGTGAGCTCACAAGATAACCGGCACACACGGCTCACGCTTCCATCCTTCCAGCCCCATACCCAGGAGTCAGGATGCTCCACTGTGACTGGAGATCTGGAAAACTGCTAACCCTGTTCAAAGCTTGTGTAGCTGAATGACAGTTATTTGCAGAGAAAGGCTTTATTTGTGAGCTTGGGCAGCTGTCACGGGTATAAGAAGGGGAGGGACCTCCTGCTCTAACAGATGGTGACAGCAGAAAACACATCAACAAACCGGTCTCCAGCAGTCATGGGCTCAAAGGGCTTGAATGGAGCCCACAGCCCTTGTCCTATCGTCTCTGCCTCATGACAGAAATGCCCCAAGCGGCCCAAGCAAGCTCATCAACCACGAAAGGAATGCATGACTACGGTGGCTGGCATAATGACCAGATGACAGTTCCCATCAACACCTGCATTATCAGACCTTTACATTCTCTTGCCAACGATTTTTGCACCCTGAAAAGTGCAACCCTGGCGAGGGAACCAGTTAGGGAGGTGCCGCAGCTGGGGAGTACAAGCTGCAGCTTTGAGCAAAGAATACTGCTGCACGAGGCAAACAACACTGCTGGGCAAGTCTAAAGTGAATGCAGTACTGATTCCCTCAGCTACAGGCCAAATAGTCCGTGCGCTCCAGCTTTCTCTTCCTTCATGTTCCTTGATGCCATGTTTGCACACTCTACATCTTTGTCTTTCTACTTACTTTTCTAAACCTGGACACCAAAGCATCCCGGCCAGTGTCCCACAGAGACTGCCGCAGCTGCCTGTGTGGCTCAGGCTTTCCCACACGGCGCCACCACGCCACTGAACCCCAACCCTCTTCTCAGACTCTAAGACTTGAGTCATTTTCTTCCTGCCCCTAAAGAAACATGGACCCAAGGTTATACAATAACCAATCACACAAAACCTACTAAACAGAAAGGGCTTAAACATTTCCACCTGTCAACACACCTTGGCTGTTGGCTCAGTATTAGGCACTTGAGCTATCTGGGAGAAGTGTCCTTTCATTAACAACCTCTCTACCAGCTGGGGTTCCTCCATTGCACTCATAGTGTGAGAAGCCGCAGGAGCTGTATATTGGCGTGTACACAAAATTCCCAGGATCTACACACCTCTCATGGATGTTTAAGCCTTGCCTGTGTACTTGTGTACAGACATGCATGCCTCTCACAGGCAGATGCCCATAGGACAGTGGCTACTCACACAGACAGATATCCACGAGGAACACGATGTATACCACAAGTTCCCTCAGGGTGGTCTTGACATAGAGTTCTCTGTTCTCAGCTATATTCTCAGTCAGGGTTGTTCCCCAGAGTCCTAAGGGAGTGGAAAGATGCTCAGAGTCCCCAACAGCACATCTTTCCAGTCATCCATTCCTTCCTACCCCTAGACCTCACCCATCTTTGCCCTGTCCTTTCTTGCCTGTCCTATGACCCCTGGGACCTGGTTACCCCACCCACATCCCTGCCTACCCTTCTACAAAGTCCCAGAGGGAGACAGGGTGAGGATTCTGGATCAAGTGAAGCCATGAAAGGGGCGGGCATCGTTTCAGCTGGGGCCTCCTCACCTGTCTCCACATACCATACTCCTCCACAGCCTCTGGGTCCCCAAGTGATGACTCTGCCAAGTGACATTTCTAGAAGACCAGGAGCCTAGCCTCTGTGTCCTGGGGCAAGCAACTCTAACACAAACAATTTGTAGACACCAAGATTTCTTCTTCTTTGGGTCACTTTTGTCCCCTACCCCATCAAACCTTTATTGGTCTCTTTTTCTGACACTAACACCCCAGAAGAAGCTCCCCTCGTGCCCAGTACCTCTGATGCTGTGACAGATATGGAGACAGCAGCTGGACATCAGTGTTCTCTGTGTCTTCTCCTGGCATTTGTCTTCAGGCTTCTTGGGTTGAGGCTGGGGGAGTGTCCCACTGGAGACAGTGCAGATCTTCAGGGTCCCATTCGGGGAAGGGGGGCTGCTGTAGGCTGGATTGTCCCAGGCTCCACTCCCCAGGGTTTGCAGCTCTTGCCCCTTGAGACATTCCATAATATTCACAGGGAAGGAGGTGAGGACCTGGCACCACAGGTGCCCACTCTCACAGGAAACACAGGCACAAAGGCCCAGCCTGACTCTGGCAGCAGAGAGCCCAGGAATGGTGTCTAGGAGCAGCTGTTCTCATTCAGCCTCTGCCTCCTGTCTGGGTGGGGGAGCTGAGCTCACCTAGGGGAGGGAGCAGGAAGGATACAGGGATGGTCATCAATCCTGTCAGATCTCCTCTCTCCCTCTCTCTCTCTCTCTCTCTCTCTCTCTCTCTCTCTCTCTCTCTCTGAGAGCCAGGGAACAAAAGGAAAGGAATTATTAGGGATTTAAAGAAGGAAGAGAAAGGGGAGTGAGGATATTATGCAGAGTAGAAAGAGGAAAGGAGAGAGAGGAGTGCTGGGGTCAGATGGAGCCTGAAAAGGGATGTCCAGACTTCCCACTGTTGAGTTGATCAAAGGTCAGTGTGTGAGTTTCAGGAAGGGAGGGCTGCAGAACTCTCTGGTGGATCTGATTTGATATCCACGATAGATAGATAGATAGATAGATAGATAGATAGATAGATAGATAGATAGATAGATGGGTGTCTTGGCTGTGGGCAGGGAGAAAGACTCACATGGATTAAGGTGAAGACCAAGGATGGGCAGGATGGGAGGTGTTCCTCCCCACCAGCTCAGTCAATGATCTCTCGAGCCCTTCATTGTGCCTCCTTGAGCTGCCCCTAGTGATTGGAGAAGGTGGCTCCCCACTGCACCATTATAGCTCAGGGAAAAACAGAGGCAAAGGGAAGCACCGGACCAGATCTTAGGAGACAAACAGGGTCTCTGCTGGTGATGGGGACAGGAACAGGACTGTAGAGTCCAGGTTGGCTTTGCTTTCCTGAAGTTTGGCTTCATGGCTCATTGGTCATCACACACACACACACACACACACACACACAAAAACACACACACACACACACACACACACACACACACACACACACACACACACACACACACACACACACACACACGGAGAGAGAGAAGGGGGGAGGACATTTCACAGAGCCTGGGGCAAGGGTGAGGTAACTTGGGACCTTTAGAAGAAGATCTCTGTACCAGGTGATCTGGTCACCTTTTCCTGGGACATGACTTAGCACTAGGTTTAGAAATGTAAGCTTGAGCATGAAGTGGGTATGAGAGCAATTGAGCTTGGTCTGATTCCCTCTTCCTTGGCTTTCTGAATAGAGACTTGGCATGGACCTCTACTCACATGCCTGTGCCCAGACTCAGCCTTTGCTTGCTCACCCAGGTTTACATATAAGCAAGAGCTTTGTCCAGAACAAGGCTGGTGCTGGTAGTATTGGTGGTTATTCTACAGGCTCTTATCAGAGATGGCTGCAGAGGACTCTTCTAACCATGGTTCTTTACCTAGGGCTACTTTAGCTGCACTGGCTTGAAGCCCACCTTCAGGTTTAGAAAGCATAGCAGCCTGGACATCTCCAGCTCTAAATATTCCCAGGCAGAGATTTTGACCTGGTGTAGGCTTCACTCCCCGATTAAACTGTGTCTCCTAAGTTCTAAGACAGGGAAGGAAAGGTAGATGTCACACCCTTGAATCCATCATATGAATTTCCTGCCCAAGGCCCAGCACTGGAAAGGGGTGACTCCCTCCATGGTCTGCTCCTGAGGACTGTCTGACCTCCCGAGAAGGACAAATGTCCATCTCTCCACTGTACCAGCCAGTGAGGTGCACTGAGGTGACCACTTTCTTTGGAGAAGGGTGGGGAGCTGGGCCAGGGTGGAGCAGCTTGCATTGGATCAGCTGAGTAAGGAGGGAGCTTCTGGCCCTCAGCCAAGAGCTTTTGAACAGTTGCACAAGGACTCCAGACTTATAAAATGACCCTGGAACAGGGTCAGGAACAGGATAGCAACAGTGTGGTGCCTGAGAAGCAGAGAGAGGAACATGAGATGGTTTCCCATTTTCTTGGGCAATTCTCAAATCTGGAGGAGGCCTGCGATTAGCAGGGTCTGAATGGACTTGAGGGCCTTCCTCGGGTGACAAGTCTCCCCATTCTGAGAGCTCCAACCATGACTGACTGCTTTATTCATCATCACCTCCCTGGGACCATTGCTCTTCCCTGCTCAGTACTGAATCCTTGTGTGTGGGTCAGACCACACCGCCCCATGGGGCAGGCTATGCAGCATGGGTTGAGAAATCTCAGAAGGCATCCTCATTCCTCTGCTGTTCAAACTTACTCAGGAAGTCACAAATCAAATATGAATCTCATGATGTTTTGTTTGACATTTCTCCAGGGACTCTTGACTCACACTGTTAAAAAAAAAAAAAAAAAAGCAAACAGTGTGGATGGAGGAAGATTCAGGTTCAAGCTCCTCTTGACCTCAGACTCTTGAATGTGAATAAAATTCCTGGATCTGATGCTGGCTCTCTTACTCACTGTGGTATGTCTCTGAATAAGAAGCTATTGAGGCTAATTTACTGAAATCAGAGGTTTCTCTCCCGCCCGCCAGTTTCTGAATAACCATTCACAGGCTTAACATTACTTATAGATGCTTGGCCAATGGCTCAGGCATATTACTAGTTTGCTCTTACATTTAAATTAACCCATTTCTACTAATCTGTTTATCTCCACGAGCCCGATGGCTTACCAATGCTCCTTGGGTGGCTGCCAACGTTTCCCAGACTCTGCCCTTCTCCTGTATCTCTGCTTGGATTTCCTGCCTGGCTCTATCTTGCCATAGGCCAAAGCAGCTTTATTTACCAACCAATGAGAGCAACACATATTGACGGCGTTCGGAGAGAAATCCCACAGCAGTTTACTATCTGTAGAGTGTTGAAGACAATAGCAAAATCCCCAGACCTGGAGGGTTTTTCAGGACTAAAACACCAAATGGAGGCTTTATAAACTATTCTTAAAGCACAGGCCAGACTTCACGTCTTCTCATAACATCTGCCCCTGTGCAGTCCCACTCCTGCAGTTCATGTCAAGGGGGACACTTTCAGCCAGGACTGTGTTGGCATTGTCTCTGACTGACATGGAGAACTGGCTGCGTCTATGTAGCTCAATTATAACCAGAAGACTGGGGTGATGCCCATGGGCTAGAAGATTTGAAGGTTGTGGACTACTGGCAGGCCATGTGGCCCATCAGAACCAAAAGCCCATTGACCCTCTTAGTGAGTTGATCCCACTGCTCCATGGGCATGAGAATTTGGTCTGGTGCTGTCCTAGCGCAGAGTGGGAAGATGGTCACCCATGAGTGTCACCAGCACGTTCCTGTATCTCACCATGGCCACCCTGAAAAACTTCTTCAGAGCTTTCCAGCCTCATCAGACTCTGACAAGCTGGGGAGGGGTGTGGTGAAACGTGAGTGTGAGAAGAGCCACATCGAGAGAGATGGCAGCTCTCAGTGGTTCTGAGGAAGCCGGGTGAGTAGACCAGGGAGTGGGGAAGTCATGAAGGGAAGCTGGAGAGAGATGACATTGAAATGAGCTTTCCAGGTGGGTGACATTAGCAGAGACAGAAAGTATGGCTGCCGTGTATCTACCACCCAGAGGTCAAGCACATAACACCATAATATCTTAGTTAATCTCACACGAGGTACGTTTTGTTGTCAGATACCTGGGGATCACAATGAGAACCTCTTCTGGAATAGGGGTTCAGGGAAGTGACAATAAGTTCTGTCCTTCAGCTTTGTCTGCTGTGGCCACCAGGTGGCAGCAGCATGTGGGGATTCCTGCCTCAGTGCAGTAGGGGATCTCAGGAAAGAAGCAGGCCCGTGTGGAAGGCTGTGGACTCACCAGATCCAGGAACCTTCCCTCTCCCCTGCTCCTTCCTGTTTCCTCCCCTTTTCCTAGGGGGGAGCTGAGGGTTCTTGTCTGTACCCAGCAATAAGTCTTAATCCCCAGGGATTGGTCATTCCAAAAGCTTCCTAGACATCTGTGAAGAGCTAGTTCCTCAGAGAAGCAGACCAATGTGCAAGGCTTTTAGTCAGGATACCCCTGTGAGAAAACAGGAGG